TCATTCAGTTGAAAGGCATTAAGATGGTCCAATTGAGAATACTTCTCAGCATTTTTTTTTCTGAAATGATAGCAGCACTTGCTTGATCAAAAACTCTTGGTCTGACCAGTGCAAATTATATTGGCTCCAATATAATAGATCAATTTGTGAAATATGAATATTTCAGTCAAATGAATTTTGGCACTGCTTACAAACACACTACATAGATTCTACTTTGAGAACTGAAGTCAGGTTTGCCAGTTGTGTTCACAGATTACAAAGGTAGATATCTGAGGCAAAGTGACAGTATTTATGGCTCATGATTTGCAGCCTATATGTTTTATTCCAAAGAAATGTTTCACACCATCATATGAAAATATTAAAAGTTGTCATTTTCAGATAAGTGTAATAACACAATAATAACTATTATTATATCTGTTTGCACTACCATTGTCATTGCTTGGCAATCTAATCTGCTAAATTTTACAGCCTAGATATTATTTAAAAACCACCACAGCCTCAGGAGGTAGGTTATTATTATGTCTGTTTTATATAAGAGAATCCAGAGGCTGAGAAAGTTGGCAGTATCTGGAGAAGGGAAGATGTGCTTGGCAGATGCAAGTTCATCTTGATATTGAGAATTAGGGATTAATAGGAATTGGCACATGCCTTTTTGAAAGTAGCATATAAATATTCTAGCACAGCCGTCTTCCATAATTCATTAATTTGTAGACTACTGAGATATAAATTAAAGTATTCCAATTCCGTCCATAGAGATTATGTTTAGAAGGGCACAAATAGGTAAATTTAATTTCATAAAGTTCATTAAAAGAGAAGCTCTAGCTGGTTTGGCTCAGTGGATAGAGTGTCGACTTACAGACTGAAGGGTCCCAGGTTTGATTCTGATCAAGGGTACATGCCCTGGTTAAAGGCTTGATCCCAGCTGGGGGTGTTCAGAAGGCAGCCAATTAATGATGACTCCCTGTCATAATTAATATTTCAATCTTTCTCTCCCTCTGCCTTCCTCTCTGAAATCAATAAAAATATATTTAAAAAAAATAGGAGAAGTGGAAGAGAAGGAGGAGAATGGGGGGGGGGGGATATGACATTGATAAAAGCCTCTCCATTTATGACATATAATCCCAAAACACATGTCTTCACCTGTAGGACAAAGCCTACTGGATAACTATATTCCTGATGTCTTGCTAGATGGACTGAGTAGCAGGAGAAGCTTTATAAAGTCCCACCCTGCCTCTCTCCTCAAGCTGTTCTTCGTCTAGAGGGCTAAACAGAGATATCATGGCAGAGAAATGCTGTACCATCTATACTAATAAAAGGGTAATATGCTAATTAGACCAGGTCGACAAAACATTTTCCAGTCATCCAGTCCTTCTTCTGGATAAAGTCATGGTGGCAGGGGCAGGGGCAAAGGCAGAGGCTGTCAGGACGATCAAGCTGGCAGGAGAGCAGTTAAGGGCAATCAGACTGGCAGGGAAGGGTAGTTACGGGCGATCAGCCCAGGAAGCAGAGATGTTAGGGGGGATCAGGCAAGCAGGCAGGTGAGTGATTAGGAGCCAGCAGTCCCAGATGGAGAGAGCAATGTCCCAGACTAAAGAGGGTGCAGGCCGGGCTGAGGGTCTCCTCTCTCTCCCTGGATGTATGAATTTCATGCAACAGGCCTCTAGTCTTCTATAAGAGTTAACTGGATACAAATAAAAGTCCCAAGTTCCAGCCAGGACTGGCCAAGTTGCTTTCATGTGAGATTTAATAGTCCTGGCATTTCTGGTACACAGAACTCACAATTACCAGGAATACCAATAGTCCATAGCCTGTTGCCACTGAGATAGATAACAAGATGTTGGATGGGATGGAAGCCCTTCCTTTTTATTCCCTACTGTCCCTCTGCCTTGAGCCAAGTGTGCACTCCTGTTTAAAGAGCACTTTGTAGGTTCCTAGGAGATACGATGAATGGTGCATGGCAAGATTACCGCATAAAATGTGCTGATTGATTACAAACAGATTTCATTTGCCACATTTCTTTTTTTTATCAAAAGACACTTGGAGAGAAAAATGAAAGCAGGGCAATATATTAAATAGGGTCTACATTGCACCTGAAGGTAGAGAACAGGTGTTTTTTGTTTTTGTTTTTTGCTTTTTGTTTTTTCACCTTTTAGTGGTAACTGGTTACTGACTGCTAATGCTTTAAAAATTACATTAAATTAAGCCCGTGGCCTTTATTATGAGGAAGATATATGCCCCTTGTGCATCCCAGCAGTTTGGCAATTTTAAGCTCAGCAGACATAACATTGATGTATGCTGTATTGCCAAACAACACGGTAAGTGTCTAAAACACCGTGAACAGTCTTATTGCCTTGAAATGATACAATCTAATATTAGATTGTAACTCAGTGACTGAACCTGCCAGCCTATCCTGGTACAGAATATGAAAGTGGAAGCCACTTTATTTTAATATCTCACAGGGAATAAATTGTTCTTCATTTCAACACTGAAACAGAGAACGTGTTAAAAGTAAATCTAGATTGCACTAAAATGGAAACCACAGCATATCAGGCTCTTTTCATCAACAACACACATGCATCAGCCTTTTGGAATAGGGCATCAAAATGCCAGTACAATTCATTCAACATGGCAGGGTCCCCTTAGCATTGTGAGTGACTGCTGGATGGGATTTCAGAGACCCTGAATTCTCAAATGAGAGAATATCAGATGCACCCTTCCCACTGCACTTGGAAAACCCTGGGAAGAAAGCAGCCATTATCTAATTCTCAGCACTGCTGTACTTGTTCCTTTTAATCAAGTATAATTCACATAAACTCTCTCAGTCTCCTCCACACTTGATGCTCACCAATCAAATTTCAGACATCGATCCCTCAAAGGTAGCCTTAGTTTCCATGGTCAGGATGCCACCTCTGTGTCTCCTGAGTAAAGGGGGTGTTATGGATCCATGCTTCAGTCTATCCCTGTTTTAACAGGTAGTATCACTAGGTTGACCCAGAATAAGGGGTTCTCAGGTATGGGGCTTTCAAGTGCTAAATCCAGGTCAGTTGGGGTTAAATCAGGATGGTTAGCTGCTATATCTCTAGGTGAGAAGACCTTGCCCACCAGATCACCTTCACCCAAGTTTAATCTAGTTTAACTGAATATGAGAGTGCTTCATGGGGAAAGGAAGCCACGAAAAAGTGTCATGAAACTGGATTTATGGACAGATTGTAGTCTATGAAATCTAGATTTTTATACCTGACAAAATCACCACCTTCAGATTTCAACTTCATCACACCTTCACTAGAAGAGTGCATGGGAAGGCCTTGTTCCTGCCTGATTGCCCTAGTACGTGTTATTGCTGAAAATGAGTCCTTATTCTCATAAGTCTTCCAGAGTATAGACTAAATTGGAACTGAGAAAGGAAACCCACCAAAAAAAAAAAAAAAATCACCACAAAAAAACAAACAATCAAAACACACACACACACACACACACACACACACACACACACACACACACACACACACACACACACACACACACTATAGCTTATTGGTTTAATTTTTTTAATTTTTTTTTACCAATAACTAAATATTAAGTTTGATGTTTATCCATTTGAAGACCTAAATTGCCGGAAGCCAGTTCCAGCATGTCATAATTGCAAGAATCTCATCAAAAGGTTGATGGAACTTGGGGACTCAACAAGGGCTGAATCACATATGTTGTCACCTGTTGGGAATGGCTAAAACCATTTCCCTCAAACCTGAATAGAATGATTATTTGCTGCCAGACAGCTCAGGGCATCTTAATGTACATGTTATTGCTTCCTACTAGCCTAACATCTGAATAGCCCTAGGCCATTCCCCAATCTGACAATGCTTCTCTATAAAACCCTACCCTTTGAAGTGTATATCTTCACCTTGCCTTGGGACAATTTGTGTTAATAAAAAGCAAGGGGTCCTGAGACAAAGAGAACTTGGCTCCTTTAGCAAGGCTCCACTGACCCACATGCCATTCAAAATTATCTTTCATCTTTGGACCCCTACTTAATCTATGCACAGACTTTCTCCGGACTTCAGAACCCTTCTTAATGCTGGAACAAGAGCCTCGACACTAAATTTATTTCAGCTAAAATTAAGTTGCCTGGCTATATATCTCATAATTTTTTTTTTAAACCAAAGCTTAATTTTCAGCCAAGTCTGTATAGAAGTGAGTAAAAATTTGATTCTTCTTTTTTTAGGTCTAACACAGCAAAGGCCACAAGAAATAATTATGACTACAATTTAACCAAAATAATAGGGACAGAAATACCAATATCCATAAATTCTAGTACATTCAGTATTGGGTTGTTATTGTTGTTGTTGTTGTTTTTTCTTTCTTTTTCTTTTTTTTCTTTTTTTTTGGGGGGGGGGGGTCTACACTACTTTAAAGTATCTAGAATAAATTTTTTTTAAATACCATTCATCTAATCACAGTTATTGAGCCAACACATTACCAAGCATTAAGATACTTGGAAGTACTAATGAAAGTTTTTATATTTGAAGATATTTATGTTTTACTAAAGCCATCATCATTAAAATAAAATTCTGAAGGAAAAACAACAAAACAGAAAATCTGCAAAATTGAAGCATTAGTGAGGGTATAAAACATAATTAATTGGAAAATTATTCTTCTAATATTTTTTATATTAGTAGATGTCCTCTAGTACACATAAATAGTAAATCAATTTGAGCCTGGCATTTCTTTTTTTCTTTTTTTTGGGGGGGGGGGTGGGAGGTGGGGGGAAGAAAACAACAATAACAACTCAGAAAGCTACATTGATTGTTGAGATCCTTCTACTGCTTTCCAAATTAATTAAAAAAAAAAAAAAGGCAAGACCATTTGGGAATAGGTACATGTACATATTTCCTTTTTCTTAAAAATATACATCGTTTCTCCCAAAATCGTTTTATTATCTCAATAATAAGGAACAAGAAGAGCTGGTGGAAGAAGAGAAAAAGAAGGAAGAATGTGCTCACCTGCTACTGCGACTTTTGCTGTCCGACTGATGATTGACCCAGAATCTCCTAGAGACGCCTCACACTGGTACAGCCCCTCGTCCGGCTTATGGTGCCTGGAGTGCAGGATGTTCTGTATCAACAGAGACCCATTGGGCAGTTGCTGCTTCCTTTCGTCCATCCCCAAGGCCAGGGGCATGCCATCTTTCTTCCACTTGATGACCGGGACTCCTCGGTCTGACTCCGCAGAGCAGTTCAGGAGGACATTTCCTCCCCGCATGGTGATGGCATCCGAAGGCTCCGACAGGAAGTGGAGGGACGTGAAAGCCTTGATCTGGAAACCTGGAACAAGGGAGACCAGGGAAAGTTTATTTACGCAAAGACATTTCCAGTTTAAATGCTCTGCCTTTTTGTTGCTGTTGTAAATCATCACCCAAGGATATTTTCCCATTGATTTTTAGAAAGAGTGGAAGGGTGGGGGAGAGACAAGAGAAACATCAATGAGAAAGAGACACATGGATTGGTGGCCTTTCACATGCGTACTAACCCATGCCAGGGACTGAGCCTGCAACTGAGGTAAGTAACCTTGACCAGAAATTGAACCTGGAACCCTCCAGTCCCTGAGCAGATGTCCATTAAGTCAAAGTAGATAGGGCTTCCCTGCTTTTTCTTTCTAAAACTATTTTAAAAACGTCCCTGAACAAATTAAACTTAAAATCAAGGATTTGGTATTAAAGAAGAAAAAAAAAAAAAAAAAAGTACCCAATTAAAGTAACCACAATTAATGAAAGAATTTGCCCAAAGTGTAATAATATGAAAAGTTAAGAATTTATACTAATCTAGGCATGGGCATCATCACATATCCGTCAGTACTTGAAAATTTAGGCAGAATCAACTAAAAGTTTCCAAGTAACTCTAGGTATTTTAAAGTAGTAATGGATAATAGTACAGTAGCTTAGATTTTGGATACTATTCCTATCTCTTCATTCTGATTATAATATCCATTCGTTTAAAAATATATATTCAGACAGGGTGTCTTATTTATAATGAAAAACAAAACAAACATACAAAAAAAAACAAACAAACAAAAAAAAAAAACACCTCTGAGCCGAGTGGGGAATGTTATTTAGAACAAAGCTCGGGTGGGTTTTAAAACAGGTAAGTAATCCCGCGTGCAGAAACAAGTCAATAAAGCTACTGCCTAAATCACAAGTCCCCAATGCATCCTAATTTCTATCTAAATGTTGCTCAAAGCCAGAAAACCTAAGTGAATAGTGTAGTTGGAATCCCCCCATAAACATAAGTGAACATGAGAAATCAACAGTAGGAATGGAAAGTCAGGTAAGAATCCTGAGGGGGTAGAACCAATATAATTAAAGAATATTCTTGCCGAAACCGGTTTGGCTCAGTGGTAGAGCATCGGTCTGTAGACTGAAAGGTCCCGGGTTCGATTCCGGTCCAGGGCATGTACATTGGTTGGGGGCACATCCCCGGTAGGGGGTGTGCAAGAGGCAGCTGGTCGATGTTTCTCTCTCATCGACGTTTCTAGCTCTCTATCTCTCTCCCTTCCTCTCTGTAAAAATATCAATAAAATATATTTTTAAAAAAAAAGAATATTCTTTTCGGGCTGACAGCATGGCATTCAGAATGCTTGTTTGGTGAATCAAAGTCTTTGAGGATGTTTCAGGGGGTCATTGGGCTCAGGCATGTGTATACCTAAATCATGCAAGTTAAATTACTTTCCATTTCATTTTTAACCATCTCCGGAGGCAGGGGATTCAACAGTGTCCCTTGGTAGCTTGTCTTCAATATTTAATCATTCTTAGACTCTAACTGAATTTTCTTGATTCTATTTAATCCCATTTCCCTTCTGAATCACTTAGTGTGAAAATGCAGAGAAGCTAGACATTTCTTTGTAAGAGCCCTTTATACTTTTGAAGAGGCATTTAATTTTATTTAAAAAATACCCACTAAAATATATTTTAGTCTTATTCTCCCCGCTCCCCAAATAACAATCCAACTTCACTAGTTTCCATAATTTTTCTATAATGGGAGCAATCTTTTGTCATACTTTGTATAAACTTTTTTATTTTTTCTATCATTTAAGGCAGGCATCTAAACTGCTTATAATCAATATCCCCATAAGGGTTTGACCCATACTAGTTCTATTGGACAGAAGTACTCCTCGCTTTGTATACCGCCCTTTCCAGTGAAGGTAAGTCTGAACAGCTTCTCACTGTTCTTCCATGGCATGCGCTTGCACACCAATTTTTCCTAAACCGTATATCTGAAGACTGTTATTTTACTCCTTCTGTTGAGCATTTCCAAATGAACTGCATCTTTCATCCTCATACACTCATTGCATCCAATGAGGCCATTCACCCAAAGAAAGCAGTTGGAACTTTGGTCAAATTAACATCAATTGTAAAGTAACAGTGAACATGTAAGTCTACCATTGAAGCATCCATCTTATATAAAAACTGCTGTTTGAAATTTTAACCCTGCTATTTGGCTTTTGTAAATGCTTGCTTGCTTAAATAATAAGGAAAATAAGACTATTCCCACTTCAGAGACGCCATTAAACCTTCCCTGGATGAAGTTATCAGTGCTGGCACCAGGCCTGGTTGAGGTCTCAAGGCCCCAGCACATAGGGGCTTTTTAAGAACTTGCAAAGGGAACCAGAAACACCCCATATTTGGGAGACAAAGAAGGTAAAAACATATGAATAGGAAAAGTTCCTCCATGTTGGGGCCCAGAATTTGAGAAAACATTTTTCTCTGGCCCCATGCGTAATAATAATAATAATAACAACAATAATAATAATAATAATAATAATAATAAACAGCATAACTCCATCTCTATAAGCATTGCTTGGTTCTTCTCCAGTCTTCTGTAGCACCATAAATGATATTGGTAACTATCCCAAAGATACATCCTGGCTCTGTCACTGGCCGATAAGCTCCTCTTCCCCACAGACCCTGAGAGTGTAGCTCACCCAGGTATTATCATCCATTCTGGTGAAAAGTAGGAAATTAGGAGACTGAGTGTTTAGCACTTCATCCTGCATTTATTACTTAAAGATCTATGATCCAAATATATATTTTAAGTCCTCATAACATTAGTTCCTTCATCTATAAAATAATGTCCCTGAATTCTAAATTCAACATCCAGTTTGGACAACCCAACAACCAGGCTGGGTTGAAGGCATCCATCAAATGAACCCAGCTATAAGTTGACTAAGATGTAGGCTGAGTTTGCTGTGAATGCCTCCCCTATGTCCACATTATATCTCATTTATAAGAAGAGAAACAAGGTAGTTAAATGCCTAGCTTGAGATACACGAAGGACAGGAAAACAGAAGTTCTAGTGACATTGAATGTCAAGGCATTTTTACTAGAGCAATACTTGCAATTTCTGTACAAGTAGCCTTCATAGGGTAGAAATAAATCTCGAATTCAAGACCAGGCAACTATATTGAGAAGCATTTACTACTCTTTTGCTCTTCCTGGGGACTATATCTTTAAAAACAAGCTCATGTTGAACACCTTATTTATGTCGGAGAACACGAAATTCATTTAACGCAGCTGTTTATGACAGCATGGTAACGAGCATCTGTGCCCATTATCACAAATAAAAACTCCACTCCATCTGAAACAAGGAGGTTATGACAGTTTTCAGTGCTGTGAGTCATAATTTAGGCAAGTTACGTAAAGATTAACTTTTCTTCAATGCAATTACCCTTGCAGTTGGCTGGTTGGATGAGCTGTGTACTCAACAATTACATTTTGAAAATATGGCTCTGGAATAAGATACCTAGCTGCTTTGAGTGACAAGCATTACTTACTTAGTTCTTAGCAAAGATGGACCCAAGCAAATAGAATCTGTTGGGAAATAACAGTTATACCTCCAATTATTCCTCTTTCAGAGAGTCAGCCCATGTTAGACACAAGCTATCTCCGCTCCCTACAGAAGTATTTTCAAAACATCCCACTAATGATGGGGAAAATGAGACATTTTGGGGGGCCTAGCAATCTGAATCAATGCCAGGAAGCTAATGCACATTCCTGTTAGCCTATAATCTAGGCACTGTCCCTTTATAATTATCCTGCAAGACCTGTTTACCTAAGTACTACCCACATTTTAGAGAGGCCATAAACCATGTACAATATACAATCACCAGACGGGGCTATCAGCACTGGCACCAGGCCAGGCCTTGAAATGTGGTCTTATAACCCTCATCCAAACACATGGGGCTTTTTGCAAAGCCCATGAAAGGTCCAGAAGTATGATCCATATTTGGGGGACAAAGAAACCAAAGGGTATAAAAGGAAAGCTTCCCCCATATTGGCTTGCTCAGGATTTGGAGAGAAAAGTCTCCCCTGAGAGATTTCCAAATCTTCAGTATTTAGGCATACAGGCATACATGCATTTGACTAATTGGTATCTTTTCTTAATCTGAACAAAAGAAAATGTCATATCATAACTGGACACCTTTCCTTTTCTTCTTCTTTTTTTGAAAGACAGCAGTTTAAAGACAAGTACCACCTTACTAAAACCTCCACTATTTCCTGAATGAGGATAGATAGAAGGGCTTACTCTTGTAGGGCAACCCAAATCAGAAATATTAACTTGTATTTGCTTTCATGTTGTCAGACATAAGATTCAGAGATAACATTGCCAGGGATATTCCGAGTTTATATTAATTACCCAGAGACAGAAAATATATTTAGTGTATTTTAGGAACTCACCAAAATGATCAAACAACTGTTAGAAATATTTCTGCAAGCTTAATTCCCTTTGTGCTTGCTCTCTTTATGGTACTCTTGTTAATTTCAAAGACCTTATGGTCAGAGAGGCAGACTATCTTAGATGATTTTTTTAAGGTCTGACATTTTATCTACAGAATCAAACATTGTTAAAAATTGTGAGAAACAATGCCCCACGGAGTGAGAAAATCCTTTCCAAGTCTAAAACGTAAAAGCTTTTGGTTAAAGCAATAAAAGCTAAAACTGAAATTTATGAAAAGTAACATGAAAGTAAAAAGAGGCTTCTGCAAAGATTTTAAGATTAAAAAAATGTCGTATGAATCCCCACTGAACTTTCTAGGCATAATTTTCTCTTTCATATTACACAAACTTTCACTTGGCACTGCTGGGAGATTTTGATGATTCCCAAATCTTGTGATCAACCCAGAAAACTTTACCATCATTATTTCTTAGAAATAGAGGCTACTGTATCTGCTTAACTATCCTTTATCTCATGATAAAATAAAGAGATCTCCACGGAAGGAAATTTAAATTATTCTATGGATGATGGAATAGCATTACTTTTCAACTCATTGAACATCAACCATACATGCATTATAACTCTGGACTCCTGCTCCAGCAAAAGCCAATAATACTTGTGAGGCTTTGCAATGAAGTGGGATTTAAATATATATATATATATATATATATATATATATATATATATATATATATATATATACACACACAAACAACATGAATTAAGAGAAATCCTAACTATACGCCAATCTTGCTGGGTTTAGGATATCCCATATAATATAATAAAGAGGTAATATGCAAATTGACCATCACTTCAAAACACAATATGGCTACCCCCATGTGGACACAAGATGGCCACCACAAGATGGCCTGCAATGGTGGGCAGTTAGGGGGAACCAGGTTGGCAGAGGAGGGCAATTAGGGGTGGCCAGGCCAGCAGGGGAAGACAGTTGAGGGGGACCAGGCCAGCATGGGAGGGAAGTTGTGGACAACCAGGCTGGCAGGGGAGGGAATTTAGGGGTGACTGAGCCAGGAGGGGAGGGCACTTGGAGGTGACCAAGCCTGCAAAGGAGGATGATTAGGGATAACCAGGCCTGCAGAGGAGGGAAGTTGGGGACAACCAGACCAGCAGGGGAGGACAGTTGGGAGCAATCGGGCCAGCAGGGGAGTAGTTAGGCCTCAATCAGGCTGGCAGGGGAATGGTTAAGGGGTGATCAGGCTGGCAGGCAGAAGTTAGGGGCAATCAGACAGGCAGGCAGGTGAGAGATTGGGAGCCAGCAGTCCTGGATTGTGAAAGGGGTTCCAGATTGGAGAGGGTGCAGGCTGGGCTGAAAGACACCCCCACCACCACCATGCACTAATTTTATGCACTGGGTCTCTAGTCAAAATATAAATTCTAAAATGGTAATTTCCAAACTATGGTCCCCCAATGCACAAAGCAACACTACCTGAGAACTCGTTAGGAAGGCATGATCTCGGGGCCCTGCTCAGCCCTACAAACCGGCAACTCTGGAGGTGGAATCCCACAAAATTAGGTAGCTTTATTTAACTAATTAATTAATGCTGTAATTAGCCTTCTAGGAGAGTCTGGCATTCACTGAAGCTTGAGAAACATCTGGTGGTCTAAATCAGATCTTGAGGATTCTTATATTCTTCAGACTATCTCATTATAACTTTCCATATTTGGGGAATTGGTAAAATATAGCTCAGTTCTTCTCAGTAGGGAGGTGAAGCTTGCTGTGGACAAAAAAAAAAAAGGCCAGATACTATTATAACTCAGGGAAGCCTGTGTGCAGCCTTTCAAACTCAAGAGACCTAAAGTAACTACAAAGGATGGTCTGAAATTAAAAACCTTTCATTAAAAATGTAGTTAAGGTGGGTAGTCATGTCCTAGGCCAATATCTTCCTTGTCTTTTTATCTAAGATAACATATCATTGAAATGTCAGGGTAACTTGTAACCTCCCTTTTGCCAAACC